CCCGCCGCGGACCGTTAGCTCCGAGCAGGCGCAGTGGGGCACGGCGCCGGGCGGGCTCCTGAGGCGGGAGCTGTTCCCGCCATCGCCTCCGCGCCCTCTGAGGGGCCGCGGCGCGAAGGCCGCTCGTCACGCGCTGCCGAGCCCTCAGGGCGTTTTCTACGAACAAAGACGAAGTTTCAGTTCTGACTGAATAAAAGTCCTCGAGACTAATAGGGCTAAAGCACGCGCTCCTGTGGGGAGTCCTGTCTCTTCCCCCGGGAAGGCCCCGGCTGAGGCAGGCGCCGAGCCCAGCCCGAACACCGTGGTCTCGGGTAGATAAAGCACCTCCCGCTCACCCCCGAGGGGCAGGATTCCTCAGACCCCTGAAGGGACGGGCCCCAGAGCTGCAAGCAGGACGCTGCAACTTCTCAGGGGAAGAGTTCATGCTAAAATACGAGTTTTACTAATATTAACAGTGATGTGGTTTAACATTTAAGCAGAAAACAGAGTGAGAAGCACAATGGTTGGCAAAGTTTAAGGTATTCCTTTTAGCTTTTAAAACATTCAGGAAAAAATGTGGCTTAGTTTGGCAGTGTTGGGGCGAAGGTTACCAGGTACCAAAGCCTGGCCTTTGTGTAAGCTCTTCAATTAGGTTCTCAAATTCTCCCTGAAAGTGGTCAGCATCAACTGCCTTGTACACTGGAGCAAACAATCCATCCTTCATCTAATAGCTCTTTTGGCATCCGTCCAGTTGAGAGTGAATTAAACGGCCCATTAAGCACTCAAATAGTACGATAACTAATAGATTCAAGGACAGGCTAGTTCATGATCTCTTCACTTTTTTTTAATCAATGACTTTATTTAAAAGTACCACTTGTGCTAATTTCTCCTTGAAGATGTTCAGCCAGTCTGAGCGAGCGGGAAGGGTCCTTGTATTTCAGAGACTCACAGGGGCCTCAGATTTAACTATAACTAACAATAAAGTCTCTGGTAACTGCAGCCAGTATTGCTTTAGTATCATGTAACTGATGCACTGTAAAATTCAATTGCGTTTCCTAGGAAACTAGGAGTAGGCATGTTCAATAAATCCAAGCCCACAACAAATACTCTTCCTTTCCTTTTCAAATAGACTTAGCACAATTTCCAGTCAGAAAGATCGCCATTTTCTTAGTGATTTGAGAAAATCTGGTACCAAATGGGTTTTGTTAGGAAGAGATAAGTTACAGAAAATGGCAAGTGCTTGCACTTCACCTTTCTTAGTTTTGCAATACCTCTAGCTGTACGAATCAAATCTTCCCCTATAAAAAGAGAGAATAGCAGTAGGTTGTACACCTCATGATGTGCAACCACTGACACCTTCCACCGGATAGCCAGCTGCTTTTCCCCTCTCTCCCTCCTTCCCCTATATACATGCCATATGCACGTGCATATTTTCATGCGACTGACATCAGCTTTCTTAGTTTTGCAATACCTCTAGCTGTACGAATCAAATCTTCCCCTATAAAAAGAGAGAATAGCAGTAGGTTGTACACCTCATGATGTGCAACCACTGACACCTTCCACCGGATAGCCAGCTGCTTTTCCCCTCTCTCCCTCCTTCCCCTATATACATGCCATATGCACGTGCATATTTTCATGCGACTGCAGGACACTTCGATGGGTCTTGACCCATCTATCCCAACCAAACCCACCTCAGGCTTAAGCAAAGCCAACTGCAATACAAAGAAGCTTATAGGAAGGTGGGGGGTGTAGGGGAACCCTCGGTTGTCCTCAGCTACCACGCCTGAGAACCCCCTGAAGTCAGAAATGGGGATGTAAAATACCTGCCCATCCTGTTCTAACCCCTCCTCCACAGGCTCCTGCATCCGAGGGCGCAGTCTGCCCATCCAACCGTCTCCCGGGAAAACGTGGACACACAGTGCCATCTAGTGACACCAGAGAAATCACTGGTCTCCAGCTCCCAGAGCACCACCGGTATTTCACCCATCTTTTCCCGTGGTCGTCTTAAAATGCCGCCTCTCCGTGAAATGAGTATGAATTCAGGCTTAAATTTTAATGTAAATGACCGAACTTTATTGAAGGTTTCGTAGTTAGCAGGACTGTTAAGAAAGCAGAATATTTTACACCTCAAGTATAGTTAAGAGCTAATTCTCATGGGAATACAGTACAAATAAAAGCTAATATAAAAGGGCATCCTCCTTCCACTGTTCAAGATTTCATTAGTTGTAAAATAAGTGAAGTCAAGTTTAAAAATGTACTAAGCTTCGATGCTAGCAATCAGAACGTTTCACTGGTCAGACGCTTTTATTCCAGAGGTTTTGCAATGCAGCATAATTTCACAGCCATAATAAGAAGATCTATGGCAGCTTCATACAGGTAGGATTTCCAAGTTTTCAAAAGGCCTTAAAAACATTCTAACTGCAGTTTTAAATGAATGATGATGAACTCTGAGTAAAAATAAAAAAAACACCCCAAAAACAATCAAAAAGCAAAAAACCCACTTAAAATGCATATGAAATGTAGAAGTAATGCCCTGCAGGCTACTGAAAAAGTGTCGACTTGTCCTCAGAGAGATGTGTCAGTCAGCACAGCTTCTGGATAAGCACTAAAATACACATGTTCCAGCAATGGGCACATCATTCCAGTTGCAGAGAAAAACAGAGTAGGAATTCTTCAGTTGATCATAGGCAGCTTTGAGAAGGAAAATCATGTTGCACTCAGTTTAAGATGTTTTAGTTGTTGGATACTAAGCACAAACATAAATGTTTTTATTATTAAAGAGGTCCCAGTTGTGCCCTTCACACGTATTAAAGTGCATGAAGTTACCATTTTTAAAGCAGGCCAGAAAGTCCCTTTGAAATTGGTCCCTAAGCCCTGCCGTACATGTGTAGTGGTAGAAGTAGTGTTTTACAGAAAGCCTGTTTGATACCACCATTGCGAACACGGTGAAATTCTGTACATTGTTAGCAAAATACGCATTGAAGCTCAGAAAGGATAAGCCAGTAGGAGTACAGAGCAGCTCTGTTCTCGTGCTGGGGACAGAGATTACCTGTGGAAGCTATCCCACAGCCAGATACTTGTTTCCATGCACCTAAATATACTCTTTGCAGCTTCCAGAGTGTTTTTCTCGTTGAGATAATTCAGACATAGGATTCCCTTAATGTCGATGTGCAGCGTAGCATCGCTTTTGTGGAGGACAGCTGTTTGGTAAAGCTAAAAACACCAAATTAAAAAGGCCCAGCACCTTGCAACAAGTTTTCTAGTAAAAGGCCAGTTTATTCTTCGTCATCATCTTCATAGTAACGATTCCTTTTGATCTGTTCTTCCACAGACAGATCTTCCATATCTTCACCCTCCCAGAAACCAACATCTTGGGATTTGCGATTCTGGTTAGATGATTCCTTAGTAGTCACCACATTGGCTAAACTGGAATGTTTAGGAGAATTTGGTTCAAGGAATTCTTCGTTTGGCAGGTCCTGCTCTTCCTCGTCTGTCTCTGCATTCACTTGGCCATTTTCTACAAAGTTATGCTCTACCGTTTTGACACCAGACAGTTCCTGTTCTTCCTCGCCATTCTTCTCTTCAGCGCTCTGGATGTTGCTGTTCTCAACCTTCTTTTCCTTTTGCTTTTTGTCTACCATGGCCTCTCTCTCCAGTTCCTCACTTCTTCTCAACATATCTCTCTCTGCCTTAGAAGGAGAAGATGAACTCTCTGGCTTATGGCCTTTAACAGATATTGTTCTAAACGAGGCTGCTACTGTAAAGGGACGACTTCTTTCCTTCAGCGAGGAAGATCTTCTTAACTTTTTGAGATCCAGATCCACATCCTCCAGCACATCTGGCTTGGAAATCTCTTCTTCTGGAGGCCACTTGGGTTTGAATACTTTGATGCCCTCGTCTAAGGCACTTCCTTGAATACTCTGGTCAGATGGAGGCGGCCAGGCAATTCTGAGCTTTTTTGTTTCTGCTGGTCTCTCTTCTCTTTCAGGCAAAGCTGAAGCTTTTGCTTCCATACTTGCTGCCAGCACTCCTACTTTTGCAATTGGGGCATCCTCTACTCCTGGGCTTTGTGGACTTTCTGCTGCATTTACACCAGTTTTCTCCAGGGATTCTTCACATTCAGTTTTGCCTGCCCATAGTTCCTTATGCTGTTTGTGTCCAAAGCCTTCATCATAGTTGCCTTTAGATTTGAAGAGTTGATTGAAGTGAGGCTTGCAGTAAATATTCCCACGCAGCGATGCGTATGTCCCGAGACTGTTCAGGAAAAGACAGAGTCAAACGTTAGCATTCCGGGTCTCAGCCACCGAGATGGGTGTACTTGAGTTACGTTACTGAAGAAGGGGTTCGGTTGCAGTCTTCTGACACGTTTGGAAAAGACAAGCTTACCGCTTTCACGAGTTTGTACGGCCCTCTCTTCACATGCCAGTTCTTTACAAAGTTGGACCCTACATTTTTCCCCCCGTAAAAGGTTAAAACCAGACTGCATGAAGGGCAGAAGCAACTGGCAGAGCTAGGACTGTATCACCACTCCTATGCTGCTCTCCAATTCGCTGGATTAGGGTTGCCTTCAGCTCAGCTACGCCTGCAGAGCATTTTACCCAGCTGCTGAAGAGGAAAGCTGCGCTTCCTAGATGGCAGCCAAGAGGAGCAGTGTGTTTACCTGAGTTTACTGTTGCAGTAGGAACAGCGGAAGCAGCTGATGTGAAACACTTGCTGGTTGGCAAAGAGCCTTTCCATGGGGTACACCGTCTTCTGACACCCAACACAGGTTTCCTTCATTGGCAACTGAAATTTCTACGGGAAGAGGAGAAAGCCTGGTAACTGGAAAGTGAATCAACCGCATGGGGCCTTGGCTCGGGCTCATGCACGGCTTCCAGAGTTCTCAGAAAAATTGCAGCGATTCACTTTCTGCAACTCAATGCTAATTATGGTAGGGTGGGATCTGATGGGCAATGAGTGAGGAAAAGGCTATGGCCAGCCCACGGGATTGCTGCGGCTTGACAGTGAGCCAAGAATTCACCCCAGTGAATTCCACAGCTGAAGCATCACAAGTTGAGCAATGCTTGAGAAGGAGCAATGAAAGTACGAGAACTCAGTGATAACTGTGGCTGAGCCAGTTCCCAAAAAGCTGACTAATCTATTCTGCAACCTCCATTTTTCGTGATAGGAAAATGATGAAGAAACACTCAGGTAGATTACAGTCAGTAAGAGACTTACCAGAATTAAAAATATAGTGCGAAAAAAGAGCTGAAATAACCTCAAAAGGAAAGGTAGAGGGTGGGAGGGGAGAGGAGTGGAACAGGCTGCTCAACAGTTTTAAACGATTCACTTCTGCTAAATGCTCTCCTCTCTTAAAGGGGAGGAAATGGTCTCAGCCCAGATGCAGGCAGCAGGAAACACTTCTGACTTCATTTGTAAGCAATTCCAGTTCTATTGCAAAGAAACCAGACTCAGGTTTCAGGTCTCAAACTTGCTTGAGACTTTAGGTGAGCCGGGCTTTGAGGTTGAAGAGCTAAAATTATTTACGTGCTCACTAAAAATATTGCTTGAGAGTTCAGTGCAAGCATAAATCGAAACGCTAAGGAGTCCAGTGGCACTGCTGTGCTGCATGGCAACCACTGCAGATTTGGTTTTCTGGCAGCGTCCAGGAAACAAGTACATTGCCCGTGAAAAAACTTGATGCCATTCACTTCTTGGCATCTGTTAAGGTTGGCCAATGGCGAAAACACTTTAGTGGAAAAATTAAATAACTTACAGTTGAAAAATTGGTAGTCTTAGGCTGCATGTTGATTGCAACCACTTTAGCAACAGGGTGAAAGAGTGCCTAGGCTCCGTAGCCACATTGATACTGTAGCTTTTCTTTGACACGGAATTACCTGCCACAAACATATTAAAAGCTTTAAGGAAAAATATGATGGCTAAAGAAAAAACAGGAAGGTCACAGGAAGACATCATTACAGCAATTTATTTATAACAGACTAGAAACAATGGTCAGGCAATGAAAGTTACAATACGTGAGGGACAGATTGCTGAAGACGGAGCCAGCTGAAGCCAGTTTGTCATAACCATAAAGTCTGCTGCCAATTTAATTCCAGGTTAATACGTATTTCATTTTTTTAAGGCATTGCTTGAAGCTATAGTAGATTAAAATTCTAATTAGGATGGCAGCTTGACAAAATTGAGTTCCTTTTGAAAAAAATCCACAATTTCCAGGTGCTGCCAAAACTGCATACGAATTCTGAATTTTGAGTCACTAAATGAAATCTCAAAAAGAATGAGAGTTTACCGATGCAAACAGAGACATAATCATGCACGCCTGCCACAGGGTGCAAGGCAGCCACAATTTGCTCGCCCATCAAAATAACTCTCCCCAAAAGCTTAGTTTTGCAGGATGACATTACGGTGTGCTGGCATGTGCTTCTGCAATGAACATCCCCATCTGAGAAGAGGAACTTACTTGTATAACAATGAGCCCTATGTCTGATGGAGAGGCGTTTTGGGGCGTGAAGAGAAAGAAATTCCTTTCCAGGCATGCTACAAATAGGAGCTACAGGAGGAAGGTGAGGCCCAATAAATATAAAAAACCTTGAGAGAAAGCTGAGAGTTGAGCTCACATTAGGAGGGAAGCAGAAGGCAGGAGTAGAGGTTAGGAACCAAGAACAGGAAACAGAAGCTGGAAGAGACAAATAGGAACCTTATATGAATAAACAGCATGTGGGTTTCTGTCTCGGCAGTGCAGCATCTAAAGCAGTAACCAGGTAGAGGACTAAAGTGGTTCTAATAACAAAGAGAGAGCACAGATGACCAGACACACAGGTTGGGTGTCTCTCGTAAGCTGCAACAAACTGAGATTACAAAAATGCTGCAGGCAGCTTTAGTTTTGCGCACTGGCATTTATACTCCAGAACACTAGGAAGCCACATCTCACTGGTCTTCGTGAGGTCAGTGCTGTTCCTCTCCAAGATGGGGAAAACAACAAAAGCACAGTTGTTTCCTCAGGAGCGAGCCAGGAAGTCTGTGGCAGCACAGGGAATAGGCATCCTAACTCCAGACAGCACACGTGACCAAGTACAGCGTGATCAAAATGTTCAGCACTGCCATTTGTACGTCTAATAAGATTAGCAAATGCATTCCCAACCGAGAAGTTCTCCATCTGTTTTCTTGTTCCCGTTAAAGAAAATGTAACATAAACGACTAGTTGCTCAGAATGCCAAACTCAATCTTTGTGGAGTCAGTCAGTCACCACAGTGCCGTTACTATAAAGCTGCTCCAACCGCAGTTACGTTGGGAACAGCTGGGAGAGCAGGGTGGAAAGCCAAGTCCTAGCCAACTAAGGGCTCTGCGGATCAGTATCAGGACCTCCGTGCCAGTCTCTAGGAGCACTGACTTTACAAGAAGCATAGACAAGCCCTGATACCATCCCCTGCTCAAACCCCTTTTCCCACACTGAAGAGAAACTGCCTCTGTCGCAGGGACACACTGTCGTAACAGCAACAGGGCGACTCCCAGCAAGCAACTCAGACTTCGCCTTTGAAGAAAAACTGACAGCTTTGAGATCCTTTTCCGTTCTAAATCCAAGGCTGTCATGAGCATAGTCTGATAAAGACAGAGCTAACCCCCTGTGACCACACTGCATTAAGGCTTTTCAACACTAAATAGAGAGGTTAGTTGGTTTAAACCATCACCAGTGTTTGAGAATAAACAGCTGCTTTACCTTCACTGCTTTTGGCAGAGACGCATCTGTCTGGCCAGCAGGTTTAGAACCAAAGTTCTGCTGCTTTGTGCTGACAGGTTTCTGAACTTCTGTCTCGCTCTCCAAGTTTTGTCCAACTAAGGGAGCAGAGGAGGAAGAAAAAACAATTACAATGACTTTAAAACCATGGGAAGCTTAAGCTCAGAAGACCGAACAGCAGCCCCACCAGCTAAGGGCTAATGCATTTTTTTCCCTGAACATCTGCTATTAAACCTTTAGATCTAGATATTTAAAGATCATCATTCTATGTTTCTGATTTACAAGGACAGTTGAGATATATACAGGGATCCAACATCTAACTTCCAGGAGCTGTTCTTCATTTCTGCAAAGTGCTCATGTGTGGGCTCGAATTTGGGTGTAAAGCTAAATGTGAGACTGTACTTTACAGAAGAGGAACTTGTCTGTGTCTGGACTACAAAGACACTTGGGGATTGTCCTGCATTAATACATATTTCAGCCTATTGACTGATAAACAAATACCTCTGGCATCTACTATAAGTCCAAATGGTGAGGAAGCTACACTTAAATGTGTTCAATCAGAGCAAATGGGTTACAGATGTTTAGAATTTCAATTGCAAATAAACTTCTACACCTGAAAGAAATTCTTATAAAGATTGAGCTAGGCACAGGACAGATTTTTAGTACATGACAGGTTTTTACTGGGTGAAATTCATCATTTGCCAGGACTGATCTCAAGCATCCTACACACAACTACTAACAGTGTTTTTCCTCAGCCTCGTGCTTTGCACATCGGGGCGGGAGAACGTGTGCTTACCATTGCCATCCTCCACAAGACCAGAGTGGAAAGACAAGCTGTTCTCACCTCCAGAAACCTGCAAGAGAACATTAGACAATGAGCACCTTTGACCTTCTGAAGTCTGAATAATCACGGCCTGAGCAACACAACAGGCAGTTTGACACTGTAGGCACTGAAACAGGAAAAGACTGCCATGCTGAGGTGCACACGAAGCTATTTTCTGCTTTGTAAGGGACAAGGCAGAGTCCTGCTGACTGCCAGGAACATTAGTTCTTGCTACAGGGTAGACATCCTCATTATTTTACAGCTCTTGCAATATTCAGATCATTAGCCATAGCGTTCACACACAAACAAACATCCTATTTTTGTTTTCCAAACACCTGCAGCTTGTACACCTTTATCTATTAATCATCAGAATTCCTTGTTGATAACCCCCCAGGTTTTCTTACTTAAATATCCCTTGACACCAAGAAGTACACATATACTGGAAATCTCACGACTCCCTCCAAAATTTGACAAATCTATGACATTTAAACATTCAGCAAAGAAAGTGCTTTTGGGAGAAAAAACAAACAAACAAACAACCCCCCCCAAAAAAAACCCACCACCTGAATTTTACAAAAGCTTTTGTAGAACTAGACATCTGCTTTTCCCAGGTTGGGACAAACATGCCTGGACCGATCCTCTTCATCCTCCTTCAGAAACGGATTTGTATTTAAAGCAACTCCAAACTTCGGAGAAGAGTGGGATACCAACCAGTTTCAGACACTGAACGTGGCACAGCTAAAGCTCCTGGTGTGTATTTCTTTATTAAACTTGGCACTACTGCTATTAAATCAAATAGTTGTAAGTAGCTGCTCTGAGAAACTAAAGTACTGTAACAAGATTAACTGCAAATCATCACTAAACCACTTAAATGATTGAAAGGCCCATTGCAAGCAACTGAAGTTTGCAAATTAATGAGGAAGCAAGTTACATATATTAACATACTCTGCTCTACTGCAGATATAACTAACACCAGTATACCAGGAAGCATCAGCCTGTTCTGTAGCTGTTAGAGTCACACACGTCTGGCTACTAAATCTCCCTAGGATTCAGACTGAAAAATGACAGAGAAGGTTAGTTTCTTCAGTTTCCTTTTTGCCAGAGCATTCCCCTTTCTGACATTTACTACTAGTAGCTTTAATCAGGCTTCTTTCCAAAGTTCTTCATGTCATTTCAAAAGGACAATCCTGGCTCTCAAACAATGTTCTATTCAGGTTCTTCATCACACCTGGACATCTCAGCAAGTAACTTCACAATTACAGCTGAATCCAGTGGGTTTTATTCAAATCTTCCATTCCACAATCAGGATGTATTCTGATTTAACAGTGATCCTTTTAATTAACTCACCTTTTAGCAAAAAGCTGCCTCACCCAGCTGAGTGTGAAGCTGCTCAGCTGTCAGTGAGCAACAGCTGAAAGCAACAGCTTGGCCCCTTGCCCAAGAAGGCTGGAAAGCTCTAAAAGCCCTCCTGGCATTAGGCTGCCACGTGTTCAGAATGGCTGGAATACACAGTACCCCAATTATTATTCAGCTACTTTTATCCTGTCTGCTGTCCCCAGTTGGGCATACAAATGCGTGAGTGTGCTCTATTATCTCTAGTTTAGTCTCAGTTTATAGCTGAAGCTCAAACCCAGGAACAAACCCAAACTGGCATCCTCCATCACCTTCATCAACATTTAGCCACTAAATGCAGAAGAACAGTAACAAACTCCTTTCACTTGCATCACTCAAAGCTGCTTATGTTTGGGAGGTTTAAAACCAACCACAAACAAAACACATACCTAGCTGTGATCCATCCTTTTACAGTCAGGGAACATGACACAAAGAAGTTTAGGTGGCTTCATCACAGTCATCAAAAACTAATGGCAGAGTCAGAAAAAACCCACAAACCCAGAGGTTTCAGCCCCAGTCAGCTACTGAAGCCATCGGAGAACACATCAGCATGATAACGAAGGGTTTGGCCAGCTACAGGCATGTCATCACTGAGGAGACAGGGGAACTCTCCAAGAAAACTTAGTTTGTCTCTAGATGGTCTCTACAACCGCTTAAAGGTCTTCCACAGACACTTGCTGCCTAAATTCACATGCAGATTACTTACATGCTGCAGAACTCGTCATTTTCTTAAATTATTTCAGACTGCATCAGCCGCTTGTTTCTAGGCGGCATGTGGAACAAGCATATCAGCCACGTTTCTACAACTAGTCCCACTCAAAGTGAAGTCCTCGATCTCCACCAGCATGAGCATCTTACCTTCTCCCCATCCTGACAGGAAATGGAGTCCTCAAGACTTGGTGGCATATTCTCCTTCTGCTCAGATTTGTAACTCTTGGGTTCACTTTCACTGGCTTGAATCTCACTCTATAGAATAAAGCACTTGAAAGTTGACAGGTTCTTTTCCCCTAAGAAAGTACTTGCTTTCTATTTTTCTTAAAATCTTTTCTTAACTGTTTTCCTAGCACATACAGTGATAATTAAAGGAGGGGGCATAAAAATCTACACAAACTTGGTGATATATTCTAGTGAAGAAAAAAGATGGGGCGGTAGAATTTCACAGTACTCTCTGGAGGTAATGCCAGCATTTTTCTACACAACCCCTCTTCTCTACTTCCAGACTCCTGTTTACAACTAACTCCCATTTCCCCGATTCAATCCACATTTTCCTTTTCCACAAATGTTAATTTTCATTTGAAATTACAAGTGTTTCAAGACAAGCATTACCTAAAGCACTGTGTAATCGAAAAATACAATTCGACATAAAAGCAAATCCTACCCTTGCTTCAGTAGTAGTCAGAAGCCTAAATCTGTTATTCATGGAGATTTTTGTTCTTGACACACTGACTTGTTTAAGATTTTTCACAAAAGGATCTTTCAGACTTAAAAAAAAAAAAATCCAATGAAACCTCGTGTTTCTTTCATTGCCACAGGATACAAGATAATTGGAGAAAGACTCGTGCCTTTCACAAGGCATCTTCTCTCTGACGTGAAACAGCCAGAAGCCAGCACCAGCATCCTACTGGGTTGTGTAAACACGTCTGCACAAAACCAGCCACGTCTAGTATGTGTGTGGCTGAATGTTGGACTTTCATGTCTAGATCTCTCAAGATGCTGACCGTCGTCCCCCTCCTTCCTGCTTGCAATGCACAGAAACGTTTGCTTCCCACTCCTACCAACTGAAAGGGTGTCTATCCATTTTAATCCAGGCCCAATTACACCACAGTGCCCTCAGAGTAGTTGCTCCCAGACAGATTATGGCTTTCCTTTGTAGCACAGATGTGACACACTTCAAGGGAAGGGAAGTACAAATACCACAATCCCATATCAAAAGAGCCCTAGTTGCGTTGTCAGCAGGGAGGGATAATCCAAGAGTTACACTGCTGCTGGAGCACAGAAGTACTGCAAACACTGGCCTCAGGAACCACTGTTTGCTCAGTCTGACACACTGCCCACGCCGATGTGCCAGGCCCAAATGAAAAGAGATTCTGCCAAATGGGACATCCTAAGAGCATCAGGCTGGACCTGCGCTCAAGCTGATAGCGTTAACGAGAGACGTCTGCAGTAAATCTCTTGCCATTAGGCCATAATTTAATGGATCAGCTCCCACTCCCAGGCACAAACTGCAACAAGGCACTGGAGCCAACTGAATCCAAGGGAGAAACAGGATGCAGAAATCAGCAATTAGCAGTTAATCAGATTTGTTGCACTGGCTGCAATTACTTTCCATTCATGCAGTGAAGTTTACTCGAGTACCCTCCCAAGGGCTGGAGAATTAGACCCCCACTGCCTATCAGATTCAGAATCACTTCAGCTGGGTAGAGACTTTTGCCTCTCCACACGGATACCCAGGAAGCATGCACCCTTTCCAAAGCTTAGAACCATCATTTTCGACTGTTATATCCAGTGCAAGTTTCCTAACTTAAAAAGGCCTGTCCTCTTAGAATTTATTGCTCTGGTTAATAAAAGTCATACTTCAGCAATAAAAGCTCCCATCATTAAGCACAAGGCTCAGACAGTTCCAGCAAATGTACGTAAGCACTTCTTAACAAAAGCTTAGACACTTGCAATCTCAGCTGCCGCACTTCATCGTGATTCATTAATTGCTCATTTCCTGATCAAATATCTGCAAAGTTGGCACAAGTTCATTCACTGCAAGAGTCTAATTGGACTCAGATAATGGGTGAGAAGACTTGAAGGGAGGTGGAAAGAAAACTGACTGGAGGTCCCAAAGCTGCAGGCCAAGACATCCAGGTTCTATGCACCGTATCACACTGACTGATGCTCCATATTACTGTGCCTCAGTTTCCCCTGGTTTACAGCTAATATACCATGCAGAATGGAGTTTGGCTTTCTAAAACAACAGCCAAATGAACAAAACAACAACAAACATGCAGAGAGCTACAGACATGCAGAAGGAATGCCAGCTATGTTTCACAAGGATCTCAGTCAGGGTGCCAGCAATTAATTCCTTGGAAAACTTTCAAGATTATTCTAGGAAGATGCAAATACTTATTTCTTCCTGCAGTACGCAGAGGCAACTCTTCATTAGAAATGACTCCCACAGGCACCAAATTATTCTCAAAGGAAGATGGCATTATCTTCAAAAAGCCTGGCTTCCATAAGATCATCTTTCCAGTCTCAGGTCAGGACAAAACTTCACTTCTACACAAGCTAGAGAATGGACTTACCATGGTAACGAGGCCTGTGGAACTGCCCTGCTTGGACACAGCTGCCTGATACTTCGCCAGCCTATCCTTTATGGAGGTTTCTGTTAAGCGAGGCATCTCCAGGCTCTTCTTGGTCTCTGCCTTATCCGGGCTGACTGCTGGACTAGTATCTGGAAAAAGAACGACATGAATAAAGGGTAACTTTCCAGAACACCAGTAGACCTGTCTACGGAAAGATTCACATATCCCATCCCTTCATCACTCCCAAGACCACAGAAATGTTTCAGTCCAAAGTTGATGCTCCAAGTCTCAGATTTAAGCCAGCTGGTTTCAGAAGAAGCGTATTCACCAGACGCAGCACCCAGGCAGTGGTCTCGGGAGCAACAAGAGCAAACATTTGTAACACTGAAGATGCTTCTGCTGTTGCTGTCAATGGAAGCAGCTGCTACAATGGCTAAATGGCAATACACATCATTCCTGTAGCCTTGGGGAAGCAAGGAAGGAAGTCTCACCTGCCACTTCCACCTTCTCCAGGAACATAATTTATCGCATGACATGTTACAGATGAGGATCTCGAGAACAAACATATTATGAAATACTTCAGTATAGTCTTGCTGTTTGGAAGCATCTGTTTTTATCTCAAGAGGAAAAAACCATTTGGGAGCTTAGGTCTTCGCATAGGTGCAGATCTCCTGACTCTCAGAATGGTGCCCCATTACTTGCATCCATCTTGCATTTTTGCTGTCAGAAGTTAGCCAATAGGTTTATAATGCCAGCTCCTGTGACTGCTCTGCCATCTAACTTCCTTGTATAATGGTCAGGTCCTCAGTAATAGCTTAATTGTTCAATAAGGAATTATTACAAAAACAGACCTTTCACTAGCCAGTGGCCTTGAATGACTACAGAGTTGTACAAATCATTAAGGTCCCTCTTGGGGACAATCATGGAAGGGTTTGGGTTGG